GTTTGGATGAGGGTCTCAGCCCTGTAAAACCCCTCATTTTTAGACCGCTTGGGTCCCGCGCTCCCGCGTGCAGCAGCCCGTCACCTCAGGAGAGGCAGCGAGCGCTGCTGAAGGGAGAAGGGCAGGAGGGCCCACCTGGCTCCCTGAGCACCGTGAGGTTGGACTTCCCGCTGGCCAGCTCCGAGTAGGTGAACTTCATGACACAGTCGTTGACGGGGTAGGCGCACAGCACCGCGCTCTGGTCATCCGTTTCTGGAAGGAGAGGAAGAGCCCTGCTGAGCCCCCACCTCGGCATGGGTCACGAGGACAACCTGGAGCACGCGATGTGGGACAGCACCCCCATCTCTCCTCGTGTCTGTGCGCAGGTGGGAAAGCCCTGCTCCATCCGTGCGTTCGGCCGCAGGGCTGGCCCTGTTTTCTGGAGCCCTGTAACTCCAGGGACTGCAAATTCCTTTAGAAGTGAGAGGCTTCCTGCTGTACATATGGTGCACATTACGGCCCGGCTCCAGCGGCTGGAATAGACGGAGCTGTTAGCACAACATGGGGGAAGGGGGAGCACCAAGGAGGGGGAAGAGGGAAAAAACATGAAACCTGCCACCATGGTGCTTTAGTTCTGCATCTCCACCTGGAGCCTCCACAGGAAGACTTGCCTATGAACGAGCCTGCATGGATTTAGGTAACTTTAGAAGGGAAAAATAAACAAAAAAAAAATTAAAAAAAGTATTGACAGAAGTGCCCAAGAGGAGCTTTGAGGTGCTCTCTGCAAGCTGAGCCATGCTCGCTTGTGGATGTTGGGAATGAAGGAACACGGACCAAAACAAGAGCTTGGGAATCAGCACAGAGTGATAAAGATTTGTGTGGAAATCCGGCTCTTGGCGGGATTGTGGCAAGGAGTGAGCGTGGTCAGAGCCGAGGGCTGAGCGCCGAGGCCACCCGGCCCTGCGGCAAGGCCGAAGCTGGCACTGGAGCATGCGGAGACCTGCAGGAGTGCGGCTCCGCGGTGGGTGTTCAGACACCTGAGGTGATGGTGGTGCGACCTCCCTCCTCTCCAGAAGCTCAGCCGTGCGGCCCGCATGGTGCTCGCACCGAACGCGAGAACCCGAACCCTCTGCTGGCCTGGGCTAGGTGTGAGCAACCTGTGGATGTGCTCAGCTGCACAAAAAATGCTCCGGGTTTGCTGGCCAAGCTTGCTGAGGTAACTGGTCCTCCAGTCAGATCATCTGCGATGCCCAAAGGACAGCACAAATAATAATACAGAGTAATGTCCAGGCTTATTTTTCAGGAAAATTTGGCACTTAACAGATGCAGGGGGAAGAGAAGGGATCTCATGTATGTATACACTTTTCCTCCACACAAATCTACTTTAAAAATAAATGCCACTTTCCTCTTAATTTGCTAAACAGCTTGAAGTTTGCAGAGTGATGGGCACTGATCCGTCCTCTGCGGAGAGCCGTGAGTGAAAGGTGAATGGGGATATTATCAGAAGCACAGTCCATCTCCGGCTCGCATTCCAGCCGAGCTGAACGGCTTCAGCTCCGGAAATAACTAAGGAGTTTATTTTTAAAGGATGAGATAGAAGAGGAAAAGGGGGAGGGAAGGAAACGGGAGGACAGGAGCGGTTTGTGGAAGGAGGATGTGCAGATGGGGGAGTTGCGAGAAAGGCGAACACTTGATTCCCTTTGGAAAACATTAGCGCTAAGTAGATGATGTTGCTGCTTTGATTACTAAAAGGCACTTCTGCAGAAATGCTGTTTCACAGAAGCCATTAAGAAGTTTCAATTAAAACGTGGCATTTTAAGGTTTGCTGATAGAGCAATTACTTCAGTGATGATTTCAGCAGCTTCCTTACCCTGACACAGCACCAGGACCCTCTTTTACACTGAAGACAGATGGTAGGAAACAGATGGGTAGGATTTAAGGCATGCCAAGCAGTTCTGCAAGGGCACATATCTTTGTGGCCTAGTTTGCGGCCAGCGATTTTCAAATGAGTAAAAGAGATTTGGGCACCTGGGACCTACTGGCTGACAAAGAAGTGACCTTGGTTTAGGCACCTGGAAACTGCTCCCCACAGCTTTCCTTGTCAGTGGTAACTGCAAATGTCCATCACGTTGACAAATGACTGCATTAATGACCACTGCTATTTCAGCCCCTTATCCCTCTCCCTTCTGTTTGTCTTTGCTCTCGATTCCTTTGACCTGCTTTCCTTGGGAAGACGAATACCCTCCGCTTCATCAGCACGAGCCCAGCTGCTACAGCACCTCTGACAAGCACTGCTGGGACCCCTGCTCTACCCGGGCCTTGAGGGGCAGCTTCTACCTCGCGCTTCTCTGCACCAGTGTTACTGAAGAGAGGGCTTCGAAACTGCTGATTGCTCTGACAGAGCAAAGTGTTAATTATGATTTAAACAGACAAAAATGCCATGTTTCTTGTCTCACACGCTCCTGAACATTCATAGAAGTGAATCTTGGTTCCTCCAAGGCCAGCTACTTTCATTCTCATGCCTTCACCATTAAGGGATCAACAGTAATGATTTCCACGGGCATTCACTGGGTTTCAGAGCTTGTGCATTCCCAGAGAGATGAGTGATGGATCCACTGAGCTCTTGGGCCCTGTGAAACGTGTGCTCTGGGCAGGCTCAAGCCAACACTGCACTTGTCACATTCCTCTCATTTTTTTTTCCAGTATAAAAGATTCTTCTGATTTTAGGTATCTCAAAGCAAGAGTCTTGATAACTTAGAGAGGGAATTATTGGTGTTTTAAATACGCAAATGTTATTGAAGTCACACACATAGGGCGGTCTCATGCTATCATAGTGAGATTTCTTTACAATCTGGGAAAAGAGTTAAGGGCTGTCACTTAACTGTAGGAGTTTCCTTCTCACTAGATAGTTGCAAGGAGCTGCATCCTGGAAGATCAGCCTGGAAGCTGATTTCCTACTGCCCTTCTCTTTTGCTCTCAAACAAAGGGAAATTATCACCTGTAGAGGGAGGCAAGAGCGCAGGCCTTTGGCAGACAAGGAAGCAGCATGTATCAGGACATGAAATTTTAACTACTAAGATGTTTGTTAATTCAGAAAATTAGAGTCTTGGCTGCTTTCATGCAGAACATCAACAGCAAATACACTGTAAAGACTTACATGTGAAAATCCTAGCAATAGAAAAAATAGGTTGTCCTACATCTATACCTATAGGTTCACCCACTATGGTTTCTAAATGCAGGGTGCTGCTTGACCCTTTCTTTAAAAATGCATATTTATATCTGGTTAAGATGCACTCCCTGCCTTCTGCAGTTCTGCTGCCGCGTACTTACTGAGAACATCCACGGGCGTGATGATCTCGTCCTTGCAGTGCTTTTGGCAGGTTTGGTTATCAGCCAGTCTTCCTGAGTTAAACAGCTTGCATTCAATGCAGTCCCTGCAAAAAGATGCACAGAGGGAAAGATTTAGCAACCTTCAAAGTCCACGTGGACTCTCAAGCTTGCCACCTACACTATTTCTGAAAGGGAATCTTGATGTGTTAGTTGTGTGTTTGTAGCACATTTGCACCACAACTGAGAAAAACATTGTGGCCAACCATCTCCTGCTCAAGGATGACTTGACTTTGAGGGCAGATTCAATTGCAGATTCTCTGGTAGGTTTTGGCCTGCAGCTCAGAGCTCTCTGTGCCAGAAATACGCAGCTCGGGGTGCAGCAGGACTTGGGTCACCCTCTTTTCCTCCAAAATAGGAGAGTACCGGGAATGAGAAGGGATGTAAACGATCGTGAGGACTTGGGCAGCAATGCTCACTGCTTTGTGGTGTGCACTGTACCTGCAACACAGCCAGACACAAGATGCTCATGGCAGATTAGCCCTTTTCTTGGGATGTTCCCAGATTGCAGGAGAACCTAGGAATGAGCCACACTCAAGAGTATCATCTCAGTTTAATGGAGATGAAATAGCCGGAAAGGCTTCAAAAAATGAGACCTTCCCCTCCTACCAGGGACAAGTCCCTTCCAAAAACTGCCGTGAGTACCTTTTAGTGCTACAGACACCTGGGCAGGTGGGACATTTCTCACAGGTCTCTCCAAAAGCCCCGGGCTCCGTGCACTGGCACTTCCCGCAGACGCAGTTGCCTCTGCCGCTGCACATCTGGCCGTCGTTGGAAAGGCAGCGCTCGGTCTCGGTGGAGCAGTTGCAGTTGTCCCCGATGTAACCCGCGTGGCACTTGCACTCGCCGCAGTGACATTCCCCGTGGCCTGGAAGACATGGAGTACTGCAAAATGACTTCTTCTAAGAAAGGAATCATTGTTTTGTAAGTTCATAAATATAATTTATAAGTTATAATTGTACCATAAAGCCCTATCACGGGGCCCAGGCATGATTAACTGGTAGAAACCACATGGTCGAGCTGCGATATCAGAAACACGTTACCCTTCAATTTCCCTCTCTGCAGATGATGAGTCCCTAGTATCACCTCTTTCCAGTGTGCCATTTTGTACCCTTCTGGTCTGCACAGATTCAGAGCTTAACGCTACCAAGCAAGCACTGAGAGCAGCTCCTGGGAGCATGTTTCAGTAGCTGTTACGAGACGTTCCTGACCGCAGAGTAAATATTGGGCACATCTGCTTCCTCGTGCGCAGCACTGTGCACGTCAGCTGTGTGCAGCGCCGTGGTTTACACCTCTGCCCAACGTGTTACTGTTGCTCAGTGCAGCTCCACAAACTGCCCTGGGGGCACTTATGTGCCAGCATGAAGGCCCGGCTAAGCTAGGAGGCAGCTATGCCCGAGGTAGCACCAGCACTTCCACCGTTACATGCAGCAGCAAAAATATTCAGTGAGTTTAAAGTTGTGAATGGCCACAAAAGAAATTTTATTGTTTCTGCAGCATTTATGTTCATTCTTTGCTCCAGGTCAGTAAAGCTTTACCACTTTGCTTCACAGCTGGTTAAGGATGCATTGGTTAATGCAGCTGAGCAGGCTCCACAAACAGCCTCAGAAGAGCAGTGCACATCCACAGCCACTGCCCAATCACTACAAAAAGAAACAGAATAAAAAACCTGCCCTGACAATCATTGCAAACAGAAGGGACAGAGAAGGGGCAACGCAGCAGCTGATCTGCTGATTCTCTGCACCCACCGAATGCTGACGAAGGGTTTAGGGCAGCAGCTTTCAAAATACTGCTCTTCCAACCCGATGGACATGGGTTAGAGTAATCAGCAGACAGATACTTCAGGGCACCCAGGGCAACGCCGATGTGACCATGAGAGCCACTGCGTGCAGCCAGCATGAGCTGGATAGGAGACACAACACCCAGACTGTGGTCAGTTTTCTACTACGTCTCATTATGGCATCAGATTTTCCTAGCAGAGCCGCAGTGTCAACAAACAGAGCAGCTCAAGTCAGGCTTCCTGCCTAGCCGCCTCCAGCCCAGGTCTTGCTCAGGGCTTCGCTGCCCGCTGCAGGCTCTGAGCTTGGAGAATTACTGAATACTCAAACGCTATTGAAGAGGGGACTCTTGATTGATTGATAGTGCTTCTGTGTTTCCTTCCTAAAAATCATTCTCTTTGTTATTTATATAGAGAAAAGTTGAAATGGGAATGGGATAGTCCTTCCTTGCCACGTGAGCTTGCTGTGAAAATAAACACAGCAGCCCGCGTGGTGGTCTGGACTCAGCACGGGAGCAGCTTTGCTTACCAAGACAGACAGAGTCATTCGGGCTGTTAGAAACACACAAATCCTCCCACTCTGGGGAATTGGGACTATCATATGTGAGAGGCTGACAACAGCAAAGCTCAGAGTGGGCAAGAGATGCACGTGTCCTTCTACACACAGTTGTGACCCCCTTGGTGGCAGGTTGCATTGGGGCCTGATGTCACCTGTGTGGTTTGGATCTGGGGCTTGGCAGCAAAATAACTACCATGATTGACTATTTGGTAAGGTTGTCTCTACCCTGCTTCTCCACCAGTTTCACTTAAGAAGTTCTTCTAAGAGGATGTAATAAAATTAAGAAAAAACAACAGGAACTATATAGATATATATACATATCTCGTGTGTACACGCAAGACCCCTGCGTGTGCAGCATTAGGGATCACAGGTCCAGCTGAACCTTCTCCAGGGAGGGCCTGAAGACAGGTCCTAGCAGCCCAGCCCCAAGCAGTGCAGGTGGCCTGGCTACGAGCCCCGCAGGTTTGTAAATAAGCCCTCCAAGAGCTCCAGATGAACGAATAAAGCGATCCAGTAAAGGCACTTAGTCCTCTACCGATGCATCCCCTTGCAGCTGTGGGGTTTAGCGGCGGTCTGAAGAAGCCAACAGGCCTAAAGGCTTTCAATTACTGTAAGTGCAGTGGCTGCCTGCCGAGCATCTGGTTTCAGAAAGGCATCAATCAGCTCCCTGGAAATAATGCACGAGTTCTTCCTTGGTTAGTCCCTAGGAGAAGGGATGCTGTTGAACACGTAGTTTATAGAGCTGAACAGTTTGTATACAAGGCTCATCAGCAGCCTAATTACAGCTCAGCTTTCCCACTGGGAACAGCCTCAAGTTCCTCAGACAAGATAAATTATATACACGCTCCTTTCATCGACACAAAACCTCTGATATCTCTGGCTCTTTCGTAGCTTCAAGTCTACCAGAGAGGCTGTGGATTATAAACCTATATCCCTTGCCAAAAGTCATGGGAACACCTTCTGCTTTACTAAGCATCCCATTTGTGCCCATACATCACAGGATGCCCTCCTATGGTCTCTTTTGTGTTCCCATCATTTGCTTTGGATCCAGCTTGCAGACTCAAGCAGTGTGAGACCGAGGAGGTTATGTTTACACGATCACTAAAGGTGACCTCCTTCCTTGCCTACATCTGATGCAGATTAAAAATCAGACTCTGTTTGCTTGCACAACGGCAGCAATATTGCTCTTACCCCGGACAGTGTCCTCACAAATGCACATGGAGGCTTGCTTTGCTCTGCCCCTGTAAAACCACAGCTCTTCCAGGCACAAAGCCCCGTCACAAGCAAAGGGAGCAGGGTGCATGCCATCTATTCCTAATGTATTTATGCCATCTAGCTCTCGCATGGTTTGGTGCCTCCATGGCAATGCAAGTGTTCAAATCAGCTGTAAATCACGGGCATAAGGTCATGGTTTTCTTGAACGGGTGATGCTTCACTGGGTGCATCGCAACTGGCACTGTGTCTCCGTGTGCATGGCATGCAGCAAGTGTGAGCACACTTGAACTGGAGCACTGAGGGCCAAGGGGATTGAGCCAATTCCCCCTCTTCTGCAGCACTGCACAAGGGCACAGGAGAACATCCATTCCGATCCCACTTGGACATGAGAAAACCCAGCACAAAATACAAATCCACTGGAAATCCTTCTTCTGGAAGTTGTATTGCTCGTGAAATGGTTTAAAAGCAGTTGGTGTCAGGGCAGTGTACTAGGATAGCAAGTGTGTGCATCCGTTCCAGCCCCTGGCATGCTGGGGATCAACTGGTGGAGGGAGCTTGGAGCAACTGCCCCAGCAAAGGGACACAGCAATTTCCAGATAATGCAGGCTTATCAAACACTGTGATAGGAGAATTTAAAAACCACCATCTTATACTAAATGCTTCTCTTTATTAAGGAAGCGATGAAGAGAAAGCTGTTACATATGAAAGTGTATAAATGCGGGGTGAAGTTTAAAAACATATCAAATGTGTGCTCTGCCTTGGCCAAAACAGTCCAATAAGTCACTGAGACACTAGGAGTGGGCATTTCCATGTTGAGCTTTAGTGGCAATTCAGCAGAGATGTCACCAACTTCACCACCTACACCGTCTTGCAAAGGCAGGCATTCTTGCAAGTGCAGGGAGCTATTTTTGAGGTGCACACGGTCATGTAAAAATATTACTTTCCTTTTGAAAGAAAAAAAAAATCCTCCTAGCTTTTATGAATGAAGAGGAAAAGTTTGAAAACACCCTCCCTATACAACACTCCACTTCTTTCTCCCACCCTGCAAGGCTCCAGGGCTGGCAGGAAAATCAAATGGATGCATTGAACATGCAAGAAAAGATTCCTCATGATTTTTAAGGCATTTTTTTTTTTTGCTTCTGAAGCACTGCCATTACAGAGGGTTCAAGGAGAGGGAAGATCATATTTCAGTCTGTTTCCGTTAAATAAAGTGACCTATTTTTGTGCCGCTGTCCTAAGGCTCCCATCCAGGGTTAGGACCTTCAAAACTCTGTACACTTGTTTTTGCCATTTTGGTTGCTTGAATGACTAGTCTGGAAAAGCCACAACAAAACAACACACACAAAAAAGGGAATGTAACCGATGAAGAGGAGTAAACTACGGCAAGCAGCTAAAGAATTCCCCAGTCCCATCTCTTTAACCACAGTCTGGCAGCCCCGAGTGCCTGCCCGCTGCCCAGAGAGACCCATAGCATAAGCCACGTGTCGTTTGTGTTCTCTGAGAATGAACATACCAAGATCAGCTGCTTAGAAAACGAAGAGCACTCGCAACCTGACAATGAGCGGCACTGCTAGAGCAGGGTTTTTCCATCTCGCTGGCCCATTTTTCAATGTATCTGATGTCTGTCCTCGGCAGTGCAGGAGAAAACACTCCTCTGAGGCTCTGAGAACGGCACATTTTGAGTGGGAGGAAGAAGGTAGCGGAAGAAGCTTTGAACACTTGGAAAGCTCGGACCTTTTTGCTTGGAGAAGGGCTTTGGTTAGAAACAGTGCCTGCTCAGGCAAATAAATCAATCATCCCGTTTCCCACTAATCCCTTTCCACGACTCAAGTTCAAGTCATGAGCTTGATGTCTGCCTGCCTGGCAGCCGTGCACGTACGCAGCGCGGGTCCACATGCAGCCCAGAGAGCGGTGGCTTTGCGGGGCCGGGTGCTCCAGCACCATCCGAAAGCTTGGGAGGGCTCAGGAGCACAGGCAGTTCTAAGAGGGGATGATCTTAGCGTTCATTCCTCTGAGGTCTGGCAAGGACAACGAGGAAGGCAGGCTGGTAGGAGCACGCCAGCCAACTCCTGAAAATTAAGGAGCATAACAGCTCTGTTGTTAACATAAGGTTACTACATAAACAAACCAAAAAAAAAGGGACAAACATCAGTGGTCTGAGTTTTCTGTGTATATTGAAACATATCTACTGTCTGTCTCTGTTTATACCAGGAGGGAACACACCCAAATGCATTTAGCCACAAAACAATGCTGAAACAACAAAAAGCTAAAAGTTAATATTAACTAAGTGTTGCTTTTATATACATTAATTAAACCA